CTTTTAAGTACTGACTATAGGATTTTGCTTTGTGGTTACCCTGAGGCTTACATATAACAACTTATATCTATAGCAGTCTATTTTACATTGACTACAGTTTAAGTGTTCTTTTCTCTTGCTGCTTTTAAAATTCTTTGTCTTTGACTTTTGACAATTTACTTATAGTGTGACCTGGTGTTATCCTCTTTGGGTTTAACCTATTTGGTGTTCTTTGGGCCTCTTGAATCTGGATGTCTACTTCCCTCTCCAAGTTTGGGAAGTTTTCAGCCATTTATTGCTTTAAATATACTTTTTTATCCTTTCCCTCTTCTCCTTCTGGAGTTACCATGCTATGACTGCTGCTTCTTTTCATTGTGTTCTCTTTTCATTCTTTTCCTTTTTTTTTTTTTTATTGTTCTCTGACTGGTCATTTTCAAATGTCTCATCTACCAACTATCTTATTCTTTCTTCTGTATGGCTGAGTCAGCTTTTGAAGCTGTCTGTTGACTTCTTCATTTCAGTTATTACATTTTTCAGCTCTAAGCTTTCTGGGTTATTTTTATAGTTTCTATTGCTTTGTGGAGCTTCTCATTTTGTTCATGCATTGTTTTCCTAATTTAATTTAGTTGTCTGTGTGTTTTTGTAGTTTACTAAATTTCTTTAAGATAATTATTCTGAATTCTCTGATATTTCTTAGCTCTCCATGTTTTCAGTGTCAGTTATTAAAGCTTTATTAGTTTCCTTTGGTGGGTGTCATATTTACCTGATTTTTTCATGATCTTTGGTTCCTGTGTTAATATCTGTGTATTTGAGTAAGTGGTCTCCTCTTCCAGACTTTGCAGCTCCCTTTTGGCAGCTAAAGTTCTTCTCTAATCACTTCAGTTTGGGTTTCTGGACTTATCTGTTGGTAAGGTCGTTGGGTGGGTGGGGCCGTCTGTAAGGGCGTATTTTGGGTGAGGCAACTGTTTGAGCTCTGAGGTTGGTGGTAGCGGGTGTGTGCCACTGTCTCAGAATAGCTGGATAGGACTACTGGCTTGGTTCCCTGTCCAAGTGAGGCTGTAGAATGGGCTTCACAGTTGCCTGAATTCTCTTGTCAGGCTTACTAGACAGCAAGGACTGGTTCCTGTACTCAGCAGTAGGTGGGGCTATGAAGTAGCTTCCCTGCCCTGGTTGGAGTCCAGGGACTGCAAGTCTCATTGTTTGAGGGCCTGATTAGGCAAGAGTGTGTACTGAACGTCCTGGTCAGGTGAGGCCACCAGTTTTGCTCTGAAGACAGGAAAAGCCATGCTCTCTGTCCAAGTTCCACTGTAAGCAGGGCTGTTGGATGCCCTATACAGCTTCCCATCTCTCTGGTAAGGTTCCTAGTCGGGCAGGCTGTATTCTGCAATAAGAGGGCCATGAGTTAGTTTCCCTGCCCAGGCACGGTGGGAGACGCAGCTCCAAGGCCGCTCAGGTTCTTTGTTTGTAGTTTTATCTCAAGCTGACCTGTGCCCCAAATTCCCGAGCTGTACAGGGCCACTGGCTTTGCTCTGAGAGCAGTCAGCTCTGCCTGCCTGCCTGCCTCTTGGCTCGAGCATTGCTTGGTTGCAAAGCTTCCAGGTGTTTTCACCAGCCTTTCCTGTCAGGTGGGGCTGGGGGCCACACACCACACCACAGTGGGTGGAGCTGTGGCTCAGCTCTTCTGCCTGGGTGTGGCAGACCTAGCTCTAGGGCCAGCAAAACTCCTCAATTAGGACTCAAATCAGACAGGTCTGTACCCTGCCAAGGACCCTGGTCAGAATGCACCACTGACTTAGTTTTGCAGATTAGCAAAGCTGCTGGTTGGGCTCTGCAGGTAGGAGGGTAGTCTGCCAAGATCTGGGTGCTGGTTGTTGGAAGGCCCTCTCCTCTTCTCTGTCACAATCAGAGTCCCAGTAGTTGAGCCCTGCAGAGTCCCCTGTGGGGCAAGACCAGAGTAGGGGTTCCCAAGAAGTGCTCCACAAGGCTGGGGGTGGGGGCTAGAGGTCACCCCTGAGTTCTCTTTTCCCACTGAGGTGACATAGGCTCAGGGAAGGGTCTGCATGTAGCTGTCCCTCTTACCCTTGTCGTGTAGTTTCTCTTGGTCTCTGTGGTGCAGGGGATGCTTCAGCCTCACTCCTGAGTTCTAGGATTCTCTGAGAGATGTCTTGTCCATGAGTAGTTGTTAGTCGTTCCTCTGTGAGGGAGAGCTATGTCAGGAATGACCTACGACACTATCTTGGTGTCTCTCTTGTCAATGATAGCCTGATAGCCATTCTAGCAGGTGTGAGGTGATACCTCATTGTGGTTTTGATTTGCATTTCCCTGATGATTAGTGATATTGAGCACCCTTTCATGTATCTATTGGCCATTTGTATATCTTCTTTGGAAAAATGTCTATTTATGTCCTCTGCCCATTTTTTTTTTCCAACCCTGTCTTCTAATTCACTGATCTGATCCTCCGCTTCCCCTAATCTGCTGTTTGAGACTAGGTTCAGCTCTTAGGGACTAGCTCCAACCTTCGGGATGGGCCTCAGCTGTTCGTCTTCTGCTCCTTTTTAAGTTGGGTTATTTGTGGGGTTTTGTTTTGGTTTTTTGCTATTGAGTTGTATGAGTTCTTTATATATTTTGGATATTAATTTCTTATCAGATACATGGTTTGCAAATATCTTTTCCTAGTCTCTAAGTTGCCTTTTCATTCCACTGGTTATTTATTTATTTATTTATTGCTGTGCAGGAGTTTTCTAGTTAGACATAGTCCCACTCATTTATTTTTTATTTTGTGTGCTTTAGGTGTCATGTCCCAAAAAATCTGTTCGAAGACCCATTTCAAATAGCTTTTTCCCTATGTTTTCTTCTAGTAGTTTCATGGTTTCAGATCTTACAGTTAAGTCTTTATAGAAATCTTACTTTTAGGCTTTTTAAAGGACAACTTCAGGAAACAGTTTTTTAATGGGCTGATACAGGATCAGATCTTAACATAGTACACTTACATGCCACTCGCTGTGTCCTAGAGGATTTGCAGGCCACGTTCTCTGACCCAGTGCCCTGTGCTTTAGTTAGATGGGCAAGGTGTCATTTCCAAGCATATGCCCCTCCACATTATCAAGAACTTGGCTGCTCATTATGATACAGCTGAAGTGTAGCTTTAAGGCATCTGCACGATAAGTGGGCCCTCATCCTGCTAATGCTTTCTTGGGCATCATCACTGACAACACAAAGGGCCAATACTCAATCAACAGCAGTGGTCTGCAGTCACCAGTCATCAGTCACATTGTGGGTTATAACTGTGATCAAAGTGCAAGTGGAGAACTTGGGGGAGGGGAGCACTCTCATTCAGTGTGCTCTGTTACAACGTACACTCTAGAAGCAGTCCTGAAGACTGTCTAGAGCAGTGATGGCGAACCTTTTGAGCTCAGCGTCAGCATTTTGAAAAACCCTAATTTAACTCTGGTGCCATGTCACATATAGAAATTTTTTGATATTTGCAACCATATATTTTATATATTTAAATGCCATTTAACAAAGAAAAATCAACCAAAAAAATGAGTTCGCGTGTCACCTCTGACACACGTGTTATAGGTTCGCCATCACTGCTCTAGACTCATAACCTTATTTCATAGATATGGAGGCCCAGACAAGTAAACTGAGTTCATCACGTTTCCACAGCTGGTTAAAGACAGAACTAAGACCAGCTTGAGCCTCCTAAGGTGTAAACCAGTCTATTTCCTTCCTGTGGAGAGCCTACACTATGAGCATAAATTATATAAAGCATTCTTATATCACTCATTGATGTACTAGTTCAACAATCAGGTGAACTTAAGTAGTCAGTCTCAAACTTGAGTGTGCGTTAATATCACCTGGAGAGCTTGTTGAAACAGATTTGCTTGGTCCTGATTGGAGAGTTAGTAGGCCAGGGGTGGGGCCCTGGAATTTGCACTTCTACCAGGCAAATCATCAATGAAGGATATAAATACGCTTTATATAATATATGCTCACGGTGTAGACTCTCTACAGGAGAGAAATAGACTGGTTTACAGCTTAGGAGGCTCAGAAGCCAGAGGCTTAGACTGAGAGCCCTAGAGTGAGGTTGCTTAGACCCCAGAGAGGGTCTGCCTGAGGAGCAGGAGCCACACACAGGAGACTCACTTCCTGGCAGCCAGAGGGCAAAAGACCCTGGGAATACAGTTCTCTGGAGTACAGAACAGAGCAGGGGAAAACTGATTCTGAGTTACTGCCATACAGAGAATCCGGACTCATTACTTATGTGCCCCTCATCTCCATTACCGGACCATGTCTTCATGTCCAGGGCTCTCTCTATGCCCACAGGTAAAGTCAGCACCACATATATATAGGATGTTCCCCCAAAATGTATAATAATTTGAATAATTATTAAGGCAGTGCTTATTAAGATACATTTCATTGTCAAAATGGAGTTATCAGCTGTTAAAGTGTGTATACTGTACAAGCAAAGTGGCATTCATTGTCATAAATTCACTCAGCAAGGAAAGTGACATAGGAGTTATTTCAGAATCAGAATACTTTTTATCTGTATTGACTAGATGCCACAATGCGAAACCTGAATCTGTTGTGTGGTTGGCTCTGTCTGCAACTCCATGTCACACTCTGCATGCTACTCAGTGCCTCATGCTGCCCCTGTGGGACAGACACACCAACTCAACAAACCATAGTTTGTAGAGAGCAATTCTGAAGGTTTGGAAGTGGATGGTGGCGGGATTGAGGGACGATGGGTATTCTATTTTCTTATAGCAAGAACATGCCTTGAAATGACATCACCTAGAGATTATGTCATCATTAAGGACATGGTGTAATTATGTAAACAACACTAAGCAATCATTCATGTGACTGCTTTTCATGGCCTTCCCACTTTACAAAAGTGAGGTGGTAGAATGAAAGGGGGTGGGAGGGAGACTATAGAGACAGCAACTTTCATTAACCAAAAGAGCAAGAGAGTGGTTTCAGAAATATTTCTTAGGCAATAATTGAAATTTCAAACCATCACATACGTTTCAAAACAACCTTTATTCTGTTTGAGGCCCTAATACAATGCATTACAGCAACTTAAAACAACAAGACATAGCTCCATTAAATCTATAGCTTGAACCAAGTGTCAAGGAGGCACACTCCCCCCGCCCCCCACCCAGGTTGCCTTGTAAAGGCAAAATTACAACAGACCATCACATCCTCCCTCTCGTCAAAAGACAAACGTTATTTTAACAATGTCATATAAACAGATTTGTAAAAACATCCAACAGACCGTAGCTTTAAAAAATACACACATATAAATGATTTTTTGTTTTTGTTTTTTTAATAGCAGCATCCTGGGTAGCTAATGCTATCTCATGGTGACAAGTTTAATGTTAAGTTAGATAGTGTTTCCAATTTTGTTCCCTCCCCACTCACACTAGTATTTTATATAACTAGATGTTTAAAAAATAAGAATTTGGCATTTTGGAACTTTGTCTCATGTGAGGCATTGTGCTTTTAAACTGCCCCTTTCTTAAGTGACCCTGAACTCAGATTTCAGGGTCTGCTTTCCAGCTGACTTGAATACCATGCATAGCAAAAGCACAGTTGTTAAAACCAGCAGAACTTTTCTCCCAGTAAGGAACATCAGTAGGACTTCCCAAACACATTACTAGTTCATAACCAGCTACATGACAAAGCAATAGGTTCCCTATAGTGACAGCTCACATACACACATTTTGACTTGACACACTGAAAACAAGGATTTCCAAATTAAGCGAGGCCAGCTTCCCAAAAGGAGTTAACTTTTAAACACAGGGGGGAAAAAAACGCCAAAAAATTATGAACTTCTCACTTCACTTGCAAACAATTTTCACCTTTGTAAGACAAAACAAAGCAAATTCACAGGAAAAAAACCACCCATACACATATATAAGAACTATACTAGACATTTGCTTGTTTGCACTTGAACTCAACTGTGGATCTGTTTTGGCTGAAAGGTGTACTGAAAACACAGTCCATGCACATATACATATATACATATATCAAGGGCCACGAAGTTTTCAGATGTTGCAAACACATGCTTTTTGCCTTTTCTCACGGTTATAATATTTCTCTTGTGTCTAATGTCAGGTCCCAGTGCTCCTACCTTATAGCCCCGTCATAGCCTCTCTGAAGCCTAGTTCTGGCTTTATTTTTAGGATGCTATCTTGGGTAGGGGAGATCAATGCATGGCTAAGAAAATGTCTCAGAGCACCTCTGCTGTATCCATTCATACTTGTGAGCCACTGAGACGATGTTGTTGGATGACTGTCTGAGGAACCCAGAGAGCCCTGCTGGTCAAACATCTGGAAGGACATAGGTGGTGGGCATGCTACACACAGTCAGGAAGGCACCTGGCAGAGGGGTGACATCACAGGTGTGTAACTCACTGTGATATGGAGTGAGGAATCCTGCCTTTGCAGTGCAAATAAAATCTATTGTTTGTGCTTGTGAGATGCAAAACTAAGGCAGATGCCTACTACCATGTCATCTTGCAAAATGTTGAAGCAAAAACACTAACAAAACTATGAAATGTATTGTTAATGAAACATTCCATTTCAGATCTTATATTTTGGAAATTAAATGAAAATTATTTATACTTAATAGCATACATGGATGTGCTACCAAAAAACAAAACAAAACCAAAAAAAACAAGAACAAAACCACTCTTGTTTACAAGCTACTATTAACTAATTGTTAAACTTCTGTGAGACATGGAAGGATAGTTTTAAACCAGACACCCAGACTCAAACCAGGAGAATCGTCAGTTGTCTGGAGATGAGAGAGAGGTGGTCAGATCAGTACAGTCAAGTCTCAGGCTGACAGTCTGGCTGTCATGCTGACTATTGCTCTTGATATGAGTAGCTTCATGAAAAAAGGACCAAAAAAAAAAAAATACATTTTACAGTTAAGTCAGCTGCTAGACACATTCTTTCAAAAGAATTTTTAAAGGAACAACGTTAAGAAAACCAAGTTCCCTCACCCCAATATTTGAAGGAAAGAGAAATAAAGGTATGAAATTGTAAGATTCCATCTTAATCCACCAGCGTAGTTGACTATGGTTATAATTATCCTTTATTCCTCCCAATACATGCACAATTTCCACGGAACAGAAAGGCTTTTTGCGTATGTGAATCAGGGAGGCCTCTCACTCATGCCCCGAATTGCAGAGATGACTCTGACACCCCTTCCTTTTCCCCACAGTGAAGTATAACACATGCAGTTATTTGGATGAATGAGAAGGACTGTTATTACGATTCCTGAAATGGCCGTGACTTTAGCGAGTTCCACACAGCCCAGAGCAGTAGCAGTTACCATCATGCCTCTTTGCCTTATGGTCTACGGTGAATGGGAAGCTAGGAAAATAACAGCCGGATAAAAATCTTTTCTCAAATCATGTTTTCTCAAAAACGAATGTTTGTTGGTTGTGACAGTAGTCTAATGTTAAAAAGAGACATTTTCTAAGTGTAGCAATTTAACCTTGAAATCAGTGTTCCGAACGAGGGTCAGCACTGGAACATCTGACCAGCCGAGCCGCACTGGTAAGAGCTGTAGCAGATGTGTAATTGTCATAATTGGCAATAACTAGCAGGTGAGAGTGGGAAAGACTGAAGTATAAGCAACTTCCCTCTGCAGTTACCTACTTTTTCTCTAATCATGAGAAAGAGAAAGTGCATTCCACCACCACCCCCCACCTGTACAACCTTTCGCTATATCCCTCCTCCCCAGATTCAGGAAGTTCACAATTCTTTATGAAACAAACATTGCCAGGTACCGTATTTTAAGAGTTTTGAAACAACATTGTCGAACTCCGCGACACTTTTGTCATATTCATATATCTTTCTCTTTTTTATTGAATAAAGCAGCTTTGAAGCTTATCAGGCACTGCCCAACAAAACATTTAGTCCAAAAAATCTGTTAGGAACTTTTTAACCTTGGACTAATAGCCAAGTACTCTGTACAAGAAAAACTGTAAAATATTTCATAGTTTTAATTCTGAAGCCTTTTTAAAAAACTGGCATCCTGTACATTTCTTCTTTAAAAAAAAAAAAAAAAAAAAGTAAAAGAATAAACAAAATGAATATTAACACAAAAATCAGGAACAACAGTATTTTCAAGCAACAAAAATTGGGGCAGGGGAAGCTTATTCTGAACGTACATTTAAAACTGAGATAACAACTTAATGAAAATTAGGAATTGCATAGCGCTGTGAATTTAGCCTTCAGCAAAACAAAACAGAAGCTATTTGGTATTGATACAAATCCATCTATTTGATAGTTAGTCATCCAATATTATGTACATATTTTATATACTAAATGTCACTTGAAGTCCTGTTTTCCAAGTTCCGTTTTTCCAATGGTAGGTTTTGTTTTTTGTTGAAAAGTTTAAACAAAACGCTTTCTGGCACTTTGCTGCAACAGAATTTCCTCTGAACACATGTGAGCTGACGTTCGCCCCAAAGTGTCCCTTGTGAGTGGAAGTGCCTTTCTGCTACATATCGTTCATTTGTTAGGAAATGAAATAATCCACAGTGCGAAGTGTCTGGGTCCACCGTGCACAGCAACACCAGGCTAAACCAGGCTGGACCGAGCGCTCCCGGGCCAGGGCTCCACAGCCCCGTGCATCCTCGGTCTCCAAGGTCCCAACTTTGAGCTGGTAAAGCTTCAGAAAGCATTAACGAGCACCATGGTGAAGGCCTCTTTGTCCCTGCACGCAGAGATTTTTGCATTTATTTTTCTCTGTGTTGTGGTGGCTTTAAATTAAACCAAAAAAAAAAAAAAAAAAAAAGGAAAGGAAGGTTAAGCACTCCAGATTAGCAACGTCTGGTCATCGCACAGTGCTGGCTGCATGTCTTCCCCTACTGCTTTCTTTTTGTCGAAAGCTCCAGTCCCATCTGAAGACGTGGTCTCCGCAGCTCAATTCACAGGTCAGGCTGGAGAGGAGCCCTGTGCTTTCCAGAGGCCTCGGGTGGTTGAACATCAGGAGGAGGACCGGAGGGCACGCTTCATCGCCTCTGCTGTGCATATACCGGGTAGGCTAGTGTGACGTTGAGGGAGTCGTTGTGCTGCACGAGGGAGGTGTGTTGGTAATGTAGCACCAGTTCTTTGAGGGAGCTGTACAGGTTATAGGGCTCGGCAAAGCCATAGCCAGTTGCGGTTTTGTTTATGACACAATGCTTTACCTCGCCGTCCACCCTAGAGAGGAGAGAGAACAAATGCATTGTGACCTTGACCGGGACAAACTGTGACGCAGCTAGGCGTTTTTAACAAAATCATCATCAAAAAGTACACTTGACACAGGCCGGGGCCCACGTGGGCAACTGTCCCAGGTGAACTGCCAGACTCGTGGCTTTGCCACCTACTTACTGGCTGAGTGACTTGGGTACGGAACCCAGCTTCACTGAGCCGCTGTATTTTCATCTTTAAAATGGTGTAAGAGGAACATGATAGTAATGTGTGTCACCAGGTGGCTTTGAGAAATGAGATGATGTGCACGATGTGCTTGGTAGAATGCCTGGAATGCAGCGAGCACGCAACAAGGGGGAGCCGCCGGCCATCAGCGCCGCGGTGTGACCAGAGGTGTGACTAGTTATTAATAGGATCCCTTCTCTCAGGCTGGCTTTCAAGTGTCTACGTGTCTCTCCATCTTGGCACTTACGCAGAGCTCTTCTCACACCTCCTTCCTATAGGACGTCTCCATAAATGAGAGAGCTTGCAGGGTAGGATGTGCTTTTAGAGCAAGCAAACTCTAACATGGGCCAAATAAACGAGCCATGCAGCCTGCGGGCCCCGAGTTCGACATGCTTGTTTTAGAGCCTCGCACTCGGAAATGACGCCAGTGACCCAAAAACTCACTGTCCATTCAAGGTGCTCCCTGGACTATTAAGAAATCAACAGAAAGAAAATATGCCAGGGGACAAACATGTCTTCTGGGTGTAATTACCTCAAGGACAGTTCCTGATGGGGACTTTTCACCTGTGTGTGGTGCTCTTATGTGAGTTACCTCAGACTCTATACTAGCCTCGAGGCAAACATTGCCATTTACATTTTTAAAAAGACTTAAAGTAGTTCCTGAATTGGTACCCAAACAAAGTAGGTCTCTTTCTACTAGACTCTACTGACAGGCAGACTTTAAATATCATGCCTGTTTTATTCCCTCTTCTACACTGTGTGCCATAAGATTCTTCCAGGTTAGAACTTTTCACCTCCCTGCCCATGGCTGGCGGAATGAACCCCCCTCCAGGAGACAGGAGATGTGGGCGGGAGATACATACACTACAGAGCAGGCGTAGCAGCCCTGTTTACTGCTTTCCCGGACCAGGAAAGTGCCGTCTCGCTTCCCTCGTAGTAGGTTCTCAGCCTTGTTTCGGTTGCTGCTTCCAACATTCCAGGTCTTCTCGTCATGGTGGGGCAGATCTTCATCATCCTCCACCAGCGAATATTGGCTGAGGAGGGAAGGGAGGAGGTTCCTAAGTGAGGTGCATGGAGCCACAAGCCTACCCTCACCTTTTCTACCTCGGTTCTGCCCCTCCTACAAGCAGGCCAGACCAGCGATCACCGGTCTGACCCAACCAGCCCTCCCTCTCATCTAGGGAGGGGAGCCTTCTAGGTAACTTCCCTGGACAAAGAAAGAGTCAGTATTAAGCTCAGGTACCTGGGCAGAGAGGAAGGTATTAAACAATCCTGTTTGTCCAGTTTAGATCAGGAAATTGATGGTCTAGGAGGATTGCCAGCTTTCAAATAATTCAAACAAAACATATGCTTAAGCTTCAAAAACATACTAAGCCTAATTCTGTCCTTTTTTTTAATTGTTCCAAAAATATGTTGGGACATCACTGTGGACACAGTGTTGGAATGGGGGGGGGGGGGGAGGGGAGTCTGTATCTTCCCTCCCTAAACTCTCCCTTTAAAATATTCTGGATAATGAGACTGAGTTTATACATTTTCTCCTACAAGATGTTCCAAACTCAGTAAAATTCCTCACTTGTTCTCTAAATAAGGCAAGTCATGCATTTTCCTAAAATGAAAAAAAACCCCTGCTGCCGCCATCTGTGGTAACGACTTACTCTTCAGTGTTTTCATTGCCCAACCACTCGTTCAACTTCTTCTGCCGAACACCTTTCTGAGTCAACCACCTGAAAAAGAGTTTCAGAGAGAAAACGCATTCAGAACTTAGCCTTAATTTTAGCCACTGGCAGTCATTCCCTTGCGGGTTCCGTGCCCACCACTTACATCAAGTACTGGTCTCTTGTCTTTCTCAGTTGGATGAGGTCGGGCTTAATGCTGTTCATGCGCTTGTCAATCTCCCGATACTCAGCTGCCTGTTTCTTCAAGTCTTCCTCCAGTCTTCTTCTGCTGTCCACAATTTCACTGATCCGAGACTTCAACTTTTCATAATTATGCATAATCCTGCAGGCAAGAGAAACGCACCTGTGATCACCCGAGTTCATCATGAAGGTATCCCCCAGTTTATATGAAAAGGCTCCCTGTGGAGCCCCAGCCATTTTCCTAAGGCAAGGAATGCTTTGCTTTCCCTTCCCGTTGTTTTCTAAATATGCACAGCACAGAAAGCAAGATCATTTTTAAGCAGTTTAAGAATATCCTGGTTATCTCTAGCAGAACAAAGGAACACTCCTCTGACCAACCTTTGTATTTCTTTCTCATTGCCTTCACGTTTAAACTTTTCTATGTACTCTTTACTGTAGCGCTCCTGTGTTTGGCACTGTTCTTCAAATATTTTTATGGTTTCATTAAATGCTTCAATAGCTGTTCTTTTCATTTGGATTTCCTGCAACACAATATTAGTAAGACCATGTCACACCTTTCGTAGAAGAGGTGATTTCTTATTGTGAGAGACTCCCATTATGATTATCTAGAATGTTAAGTACTTTGTTAGCAAGGTGGAACTCTAATTCATAGAATCACTAAAACACTATCACAAAAGCACACACTTCCTTTGGGAATTATTCCAGTCTATGGAAAATGACTACCTGACAGTTTCCTAAGTTTTCATCTTGGTTAAAATCATGCCATTTTATCAGCAATTCATGACATCCGTCTTGTCCTTTACTCCCCCTGCCGGTCCCGATGGTTAAATCCCTATTTCTGATATTAGCCAAGTTCCACAAGTCTGTGGACCTTCCAATCTAAAAATAATTCTTCAATCAAGAATTATGTCAAATCAACTTAAAACTCACAGTAACCTCTTCCTTTCTCTTGTAAACTTACTATTCTGATAGGCTTCATTTACAAATAGAGATATAATGAATAAATTACTAGAATAATCCACAATGATTCACAAATGAGCTCTCAACCTTTTTATTCTGTTTTTGAAGCTGACTAATATGCGTTAGGTTTTAATAACTAACACTTCTAAAATTATAATGTGATTTTCACAGAAAACTCACCTGGGAAGTACGGGTATAGTCCTCATATAATCTATCATATTCCCGACTTTTTTCTTGAAATTGAGTGTTATATTCATGTAATTTTTTTCCTACAGCTTCAATATTATCTTCTTTGACAACTTGATCCTAGAAGGATTAGAGAGAGCAGAAGAAAAAGCAATTCAATGGATAAGGTATGTAATCAATTAAGAACTATTTAACCAAATATCTGACGTGGAAAAATCCTTAGAGTATTTTATTGAACTACTCTGAAATTGTAATTTTGTGATTACAAGTACAAAGCTTTTCAAATTTCATTACATGCAATTCATCTGCTTCTAAGTGTTTCTAAGCACTGAAAGTACCTTATTTAAATGACATTAACAATGTGAGCATTTGATTACCTGTTGGTATTTGGATACTGGATAAAGTAACTTCACATCCAGCTTGGGATTGTACTGAGCTAGAGATTCATTCCGGTAGTGGTTTATTAATTCAACCACAGAGTTGAAGGTTAATGGGTCCGAGAAGCCGTATTTCCCATCTCGGTGAAATATTTTGATTAATTTGTTATTTCCTCCTTTCCTGTAAATACAATATGAATGTAATGGCATACTATTTCCTTTAAAGAAATGTGTTTTAATGTCAACTTGAACCACCCCGGCTTTGCCTCCATTCTCTGACTCACCTTAGTGTAAGAGTATAATCTCCGTGCATTTTAGTAGATGCATCTCGTACCAAAAAGGTTCCGTCAGCTGTATCTCGGAGTTTTTCATTCACTTCCTCCCTGATGTGAAAAGAATACAAGACAGGGCTTACCTCAAGGATTTAGTGATTATCTAAACAGACTTAATTTTTAGAGCAATTTTATGTCCACAGCAAAACTGAGCATAAAGTGCAGAAAAACCCTCTAACACCCTTCCCCTATAGATTTATACTTATTAATTACATTTTCAAAGCTCAACAATTTATTCTTATATAAAAAACGTTACAAACTCCATCTCATTATAAACAGGTGCATGGGAGTTAAAAAAAACAACCACCTACTTTCACTGTCCATATAACTGTGGTACACGTTTTTATTTTTTAACCAAAGATGCTAACAAATCAGCAAATCATGATCCCAAAAAGGTTTCCTGCCCATCCCTCCCCGCTTAAAAACAAAAAGCTAAGAATAAAAATGCCACTTTATTTTACTGTGTGTGAGATAATCGTATGAATTCTTAGAGTTCTGCGTGACAGGAGTGCCTGCACGCTGCCTTGGGCAGGGCCACTTGTCCCGGTGCCTCCCTGACATCTGTCAATAATCGAACTTCTCAGTGTGTAATTTCCGGTGGCACCAGCACCCACAGCTCTCCAGCGTCTCAGTGACTTCTCTGGTATCCTTTGGAAGGGAATCCAGTATGCTTCAATGCTTATATTGGATGATATCCTAAAAATGGAACTTAGCAAGCTGGTGCTTTTCTTTCTCTTAACCTAAAACTCTCTATCGCTAGTGAAAACTAAGCGTTTCTGTGGGCTTACCTCGAGATATCTCCCCAGTACCACTCAGCATCTTGTAAGGACATATTGTTATTCATACCGTTGTTGGCCACAGTAGTAGGTTTTGGTGGTTTAGGAGGCAGTGCTGTAGATTAAGGAGAAAGGAAAAAGTTGTTTGCGACCCCAAACTAACATTTTAAAACAGACCTAATTTCTTTGGATGAAAGTAGAGTGTGACATACAGCAATAACTCAGAAGTCCATGAAACATGCAAGATTGTTTTCTTCTAAAAAAAAAAACAAACCAGAAATCTTTCAGAGTACAGCTCAAAGAGAAAAGAAACTGAAGAAAACAGCTTGGAGATTAATAAATGTGAATTTCAGAGTAAATCCAGAGTTGTGCCATTTTCTACTTCTAGGTTCTAGTTATAGTAAAGTTGCATGCCTGGTCAAATCCAGCTGAAGTCAGAAACCATGCATGCACAGTGAGCAGGAGGAATCACATGGGTTGGCTTTAATTTCCTCCTGTTTAATTAGGAGAGACAAATTTGGCTTCTGCCCTCCACAAATGCTGGTGTGGTAGAGGCTCACCTACAGCAATATGTTTTCAGAGGAGAGTTAGTATTTCTCATCTTAGTATTTCAGGCACTGTTCTGCCAAAAGCCACTCTAAGAAACTCATCCTTGACCTAAATCTCTTTAGTGTTAATTTTTTATTGGAGAAATTGTGCTCTATATGTCAACTGATTAAAAACTATATTCCTCTTTCTCAATGTCAAATCAGTATTCATATACCAATTGGTGACAAATGAAAGGCTGTGGTATTTCTGAAATTTCTTCATTGGGAAATGGGCTAATAACATAGGGATAAAATAAGTTAGAAAGCACAATAAACCCAGGACTTTTTAGCTAAATTCTAAGTCATAAGTTTTAAAGCACAGTTACGATTTTAATTTATGTGAAATTATTTCAGAAGTCTGTCAAAAGACTATGTGATAAAGACTAGGACTAAGGAATGGACAGCCAACTTCTCTTCTCTTTATAGTATCCTAAGATAGTATCTTAAGACAGGAGGCAAAATCTCAAAGTTTGATTTAGAATAGTTTCCGGTCACCTAGAACTGAGTTGCAATCATTGCTACATTTTACATGCTTTCTAAAGTACCAAGTGCTATCCCCACAAAGTATCACACTGTTCTCCTCCATTGGCAACAGAGAAAAGCAGCACAAAGGAGACATCAATTCAATTACAGGAACGCTATACAACAATATAACCCAAATAGCAAAAGATCTTAACAAAAGACACCAGTGAAAAACGGACATTCCATTCATATCCATTCAAGTAAGAATAAGCATTTACCACATACAATCTGATCTGCCTGCTTCCACAGGCTATGATCAAATGAATTATTATTAAATTAGAACAAATTAATAAAAATAGAAATCTAAAGAGGCTCTATTACAGAGTTGTCAAAAAAAAAAAGCCACAAAATTAACTAGCTTTCTACAAGAATACTGCAGTATTACCTGGTGGATCCATTTCTATATAAAACATCAAGTCTGTGCCACAATTTATATCTGTCTTAGCATATTCTAAATCCAGGTCTTCCATATTCCAAACAGTGTTGTACATTTGTGCGAGAGTTTCCTTGGCTGAGCTCAGTTATAAGAAAAGAGTCCGGCTTTCTTTGTAATGGTGTCTTGGAATTCATTTTAAAACCTATAAGGGGCTGCACTGTAACCTATTACATCACACAGCCCAGCCAATCAAGTCAGAAAAATGTCACCAGACCACTCCTGCTTCATTATTTCTCTTCTGTATCAGCCTTAGCACAACCCCAACCTCACTAAGCTACATTTAATAGAACTGCAACATATACATGCTCATCGTTTCCAAAAGCTGTTTAATTTGACTGTTCTCCTCCAGCAGTGAGTTTTCTAATTCCCTTTTTATTACTCCTTGCAGCTTGGTACGCTCCGCTCTTGGCAGGGTGACAAAAGCTGATATGCTGCAGCACGTAGCTTTTTTCCCCTAGTGCATCTGGGTTTTTAGATAGCCCGATCATTCCTTGGTTTAAAAATCTTACAAATGCATGAAAACGGTGTATTTAAGGTATATTTTACAGTCCTTAAATACCTCCCATATGTATTAAAAGCAGAAAGGACTCAGGATATTTAATCTCAGTCCTACGTAAAAACTCAAACACTGTCACAAGCGTACCACATTAGAAAGCTCAAGCACAAGGAAATACATAGGCAAGCTCTCCTCCTCGACCAAATACTGCAAAGTCAAAACTACACTTTATGGACTAACACTGGAAATTCTTAACAGGAATGAAGAGGTCTGTTAGCAGAAATAATCAACAGAACTGTCAACATCATTAATGAGAATTTTAATGTTACTGCCTAACAAGACTGGTCAAGGTAAGCTGTCTTCCAAATAGAAAGAGGCCATACAGATCAGAATGCAGAGGGGGAGAGCTGTCTCGGCAAAGTATTCTCACCGGTGAACCCATCCTGGGATTTATTGTGTTAATACTGCTTGGGTGGGCGTGGGGATGATGTAATCACTTTTTGGGTAGTTGGGGGTGGGAAGGGGGCTTTTATCTCCTCTACCTCAAATGCCTCGCACTGGGGAGGACTATTACTATTCCTTCTTAGCAGTACTTAATGTAAAGACATCAATTCCCCTATAAGCCTAATTATTAATCTTTTTTTCTTCCAAGCTGTTCTCTATATAATCCGGCTGCTCTTACTGGAGCCTAAGGTACATTCCCCTTAAGAAATGGTCCCTCTTTGCAATAGGATGCGAGGGAAGGAAGAAGGGGGGTGGGGGAAGCCCTCACCCCATGTAAATGTGGCTGATTTAAAAAACTATAGTGGGCTCTGTGATCTACATAGTATTTGTGTGATTAAAGAGCACAGAAGCCCTAAAAATTTACTCTTAGACATTCTATCCGCGTTGGCATCATAAACTATATAAAAGAGCAGGGCAAAGGCAGGTCATTCTCTGAGCACTATTCACTTGAATCCCCTCTCTAGTTTATAATTCATCTTCTCATTAACCATGAAGGCAGACTCAGCCTAAAAACCCTCCCACTCACTTTTCTATTTGCCTAAGAGCTTAAGTAAACCTAAACTCAAGTAAAAGTGGCGGTGGTGGTGGCCTCAAATAAGATTCAGAAAGAAATCTCTCGGTTTAATAAAAACAGTGATACCCCCCACCCCACCCCCACCCCCAAGGAAGGGAGACAAGTTCTAGCCTCCAACAGAGGGCCACATGCCCTGGAAGCACTCGGTGCAAACCAGGGCAGAAAAGGGAGCCCATGTGGCACAGGGAGCAGGGAGACAGGTGATTTTCCATGTCTCTCCCAGGCCTGGCCAGGCACCAACTTCCAGCCCGGCACTGTGTAATTACCTCCTTCCCGCTTCCACCCTAGCCCCATCCTTCCCTCACACTGTGCCCCTCCAGGAAGGAGTATCGCCCTCATCTGCCAGCTGCCCTCCCCAGGGAGTGCTTAATCAATCTCTCTCTCTCTCTCACAGAACTACAAAAAAAAAAAAAACACCACAAAAAAAAACAAACAACAAAAAAACCCTAATGCAACAGCGAAGGGGCAGAGAAGTGCACAAATTAAAAGCAACTTACTTTGCAGGTTATGCATTTCAACGGTTTCTCTTTGAAAGCCTGTATCCGACAATGAAAAAAAAAAAATCCAAAAAGCTATTCTTCCAGCCAGCAGGACCAGCCCCCGCGGCTCCCCCCACGGCTCTCAGGCAGGCGGTGCTGGCTGCCAGCGCGCAGGACCCCTGGGACCGAAGGAGGATCGCGCCGCTGCACCCTCACCGGCTCCCCGCGGAGACAGCCGCTGGACGTGGGTCCAGTACCCGGGAGGGAGAAGGCACCGGCGCTCGCAGGGCTCTCTCAGATAAAGATCGCGGCTTCATGATTAACTTGGGCAGGTTCAAATATTTGCTGAGCCAGGGATTTCGGGGAGGGGAGGAGAGCCCAAGTCAAAGTCAAAGTTGTCATCTGCTAACAAGTGGCCAATGCCTGCCCAACTCGCTCATTTTCACCGAGGAAATGAGAAGGCCATTGTGCGGGGACCTAAAATAGTCTCTCTAACTGGCTGCGGCAGCGCGCTCGCTGGCTCGCCGGGCTCAAGTGGCCACAGTGAAGCGAGGCACTATGCGCAGCCAAACACAGGAAGTGGCTGAGCTAGTTCAGCAAAAAATAGAATCAAAGCCCTGCTTGTAAAGGCCTGAACCCTCGGAATGGCCCAGAACACCATGCCTTGCTCAGTCCACCGCCTCCCACACCCAAGCACAGGCAGCCCGCAGGTGTAACAGGAAAGCCCTACGCAGCAACTGGGCAGGGAACAGGTCTACAAAAATATTTCAAGTCCTAGGGAAGATGACTCTAACTCTGCATAGATACCATGCTCCACGACCACATGAAGATTGAGAGAGAAAACCCCAGCTGCAGCTACTTCTATAGTCAATTGCAACTTGGGCTTCAATAGCCAGAGGGTTTTGTAATAATTAGGAGGGGTGTCTGCATCGGGTTCATGCAATGGCCACATGGAGCAAAGGATGGGAGAAGGGCAAGCAGAGAGAATACCTTTCGGGAGGATGTTTGTCCTCTATTTGAGAAAGGTGCAATGAACCAGACTTAATTAAAATTTGACCTCAGAAACTTTTCACTCGTATCAGCTTGACTATTACTCCAAGAACCAAAACACAATAATCATACCTTTAAAACCAGACAGCAATTTAGAGATGACTTCAAGCAATTCCCTCATACTAAACACACACACACACACACACACACACACGATTCTGACCAGAGGGGTAAAGTGGTTTGCACAAGATTATAGCAGGAGGACCAGAACTCCTTTTCCTCCACCCACTGGCCCTGCCCTTCACTTCCCTCTGCCAGAGAACGTAAAAATTAACAAGTGAAACTGAAGCTAATGTCTTCTAAGCCACATACCAGAAATTTCACACTTGCAACAAAACTGACTTTTTATTTTCTATTTTTAGCTTATCTAAATTTTTAAAAAGCTACCTTCAAATTCTCTTTGAAGAAATATGGGTGTGGTCTCTAACATCCTCAGATTCTGTATAGGAAGGTGACCCAATGGTCAT